AAAAAGTTGAGAATTTGAGGGTGTTAGAAAAATTTTGAAAACAGTCACTAAAAAGTTCGTGCAATTTGTTTTTTTTGTTATTTTGTAACAAAGTGTTATTAATTCCTGCAGGGTATGACGAAAGGCCACTTTTGGTTCTATACATCCATATATACACTCATTCGAAAAAACATACAAATATACACACACTGACTTGTTGCAAAAACACAGTTAGTTCTACAAAACACAAGCAACAAAAAAAAATGCATCCGCACTCGCAGTCCCACTGGGAAAATTACCAATGATGGCATTCTCATTTCCATTTTCATTTCATATCATTTCACACACATTTGCACATTTGTTGTTTCAACTTTTTTTGCCATTTCTTATGTGAATTGTGTCGGTTTATTTGTTGCATACTTTTGTGCGGTAATGAAAGCGAAAACTCTCGTTTAGAGACAGCAAGTAAGAAAACAGAAAAAAAAATTTAAATTCTCCATGTATGTACAATTGTTTTTTTTTGTGTAGAATTAAAAAGTGGTAAACTGTGAACAAAAAGCCGAGTTAGCTCATAAAAATTCATTAAAAGCACTTTTTTCGCTATAGCTTTGAATGAGTGGGATAGAAGAAATTTATGGTTGTCTATGTGAATGTTTATAGATGTATGCGTGTGTGCAAATAGTTTATAATTTCACAAGGAATTAAGCAAGCATAAATTTTGTTGTCTGTGGAGCTCATATTTTTTGCTCTTCATTAAAACAGTTGCCTTACTTTAGTGTAAAAATGATATGTAGCTGGAGATTTTTAGAATGAAAAGCTCTGAATTTTTATGAAAAAGTAGGCAGTGAAATCTGCAAGCAGCAGCATCTTCTTAAGGACACATAAATGATGAGCCCCTGCGCTTTAAATTTTCGATTTAAATTTGCGATTTATTTTCAGTCAATCAAGCCAGTTTAATCATAAAATTACCTGCTTTCCTTGGCTAGATGTGAAAAGCCCTAAAGACGTGCTTTTTTTTGTTTCTCCCAATGGCAAGGCTGCATCAGAAAACAAGCGATATGCAAGCTCTCTATCGATTTCTTTGAAACCTTGAAAGCCAGTGAAATTTTTTTAATCGATTTCTGTGAAACTACAAAGTGAATTTTAATAAAATCTACAGCTTATTGGAGCTAAATATGCCTATTTTAAATTCATAATACACAATTTAAAATTTTTCGAAATTTTGACACAAAAAAAGTTAATTTTTTTCGATTGATTTTTTGGTTAATTTGGCAACTTTTAAGTTTTAAAATTCACATGTAGCGGTTACCTATTTTCTATGCTCAACATTCTCTAAAAAAGTGGAGACTTCAATATTGCTCAGGATATTGCGATTTTAGTGCGTGTAAGTAGCACAGAGGACCATTAAAACCTCCATAATTTTCTTTTCCTGAGTGGAGAATATAAGGAATCTTTACATGTAAATTATAAGATTTAAAAGTGGTAAAATTTACAAAAAAAAAAATATTAAAAGTTCTTTCAATTTTTTTTTATTGGTTCAACATTTTGAAAAATGTTTTATTGTTTTACAGTAATAAAAAATTTAAGCTACAAATTATTTTAGGCTTAAAAGTATTTTATTTAAAACTATCGTCTCCAAAGGGACGGAAGAGCACTTGCCTATCGCTTATTTTTTGTCAGAATCTTTGAGTTTCATTTAACGCCAAACTTCCTCGTTTTACATGACACATTTGTATATACATACATATGTAGCGTCAAAACATACTTCAAATATTTTCGGTTTAAAAAAAAGCAGCATTTAATTAAAATGTGCCTACTTCGCAGCCAGCGTAGGAAGTTGAGTGTGCATGTTTTTATAAACTTAACCACTTGAAAGGCCATGAGTTCTCCGCATATACCCACACCTACATGAACCACATGTGTGTGTGTGTGTGCGCTGATATGCCCTGCGTGTGATGTTTTATTGCGTGCATTCCTTTCATTTTAACCACAGACGTGTGAAATTTTATTAAAATGAAGTTAAGAAGGAAATTGTTGTGTTGCCATAACCATAAAATTATTTAATTTGGCGGCAGAAAACCTGCTTTTTTTCCATAGATAATATTTTAGCTTAAAATAGTTACTCATACGCGCTGTGGTGTGCTCTTCCGGTATACGGGACGTATGAGTAACAATTTCCATAATACGGTGGTCACATGAGGCGATTTTATAGGCAACTTTTAGTTGAAAGCAACAATCGCCTGGTGTAAACGGCCTTTCAACTACCACTTTTGATTCAATTAATCGCCTCTAAAATTGCCAGGATAATTGCCTCATGTGAATAGCGTATTAAATAAATAAATTCGTTTTAAGTGGAAGGCCTTAAAGAACCAACTTGCAGTAATATAAGCTCTTAAATGTATTTAAGACCCGTAAATTATAAGATAAATAAAAAGTAGAAAGTTGGTAGAATTCGCCTAGTTTCTTATAGATTTTATTTACTTTCGCTGGGCACACGCACAGATTTTGTCAGTCTGTTTCTCTCTTGTCTTTGATATTATAGCTACGGGTCTGAGGATTGGGTGGGAGACTCAGCTTAGTTGGATGCTAAGGGATAATTTTCCGCATCGTGATTTCTTTTTAACTTTCATAGTGCATCCAATTATTCCCTGCAATTTTCGGCCGTATAATAGCCGCATCCATAATCACTGGAGAACATTTTGTTTAAGTCCCCACTTTTAACTGAAAACCCTGTATAATAGGCTATATTGACTCATTGCAATCGCCTTGCAACAATTGCTTTCGAGTAGTTTTTGGTGTCTATATGATTTCGCAATTCGACTGGCTCTTGCTCTGTTGAATTGTAGTAGTGGAGTGCTCCTTCTCACATAATGAAATATTTTTACTGAACAACTTATTGATATTTGTTTATGTAAAATAGGGCGGGTATGTTTATATGGGGGATTTGTTTTGACAATGAGCGTATAGCACAGAAGGATTCAAGGTGTCGTTCCAAGTACCTTTTCTAAAATCAATTTGGGACTTGCCAAATTGCAGAAATAGGTTTCTTAGCATTTTGCAGTAGTAGTGCGGTAAAGAAATGCCTTAATTTTGTATAAAAATATTATATAAGGCGTTTTTTGGAGTAATCCATGCCTGCACTTACATTTTTCTTAGAACTTCCATCAGAGGGCGTAACAGTGACAATTTTCACATTTTCTTAGAAACGTATTTTCGCACTTTGGCAAACTTCAAATTGATTTTAGACCAATGGTTTCTTCGCAAACTTACTTAGAATTGCACGTAGAACCCGCCCTAATGTACACATATTATTATTCTACTTAGAAACCATTCAATTCGCCTTCATATGGGTACTTGGTGATTCTTTCGGCTGTTATGTTGCTACAAGCTCCTCGATGTCTATTAAAGCATTAAAAGTGTACTGACTGTGATGGATTGATTTTTCTATTGTGATCACAATTTTATGTAGAATGACAAATCTCCCAAACCTAAGGACATCTCCTACGACAAATAAATATGTATTTTATTGTTTTTAATATGTTTGTCAGAGCGTATGAGTAACATGTTGACATGTAATGAAAAATTGCATATCCACTAGCAGGTCCATTCTGCACGTTACCGAAGATTTTGTAACCGGCTAAAATTGTATTACCAGTTCTTGCCACCGCGATTCTAGGTACGTTTGTAATGCAATTAAAATATTCAATCAATTCAACTATAAAGAATTGTAGAAATTCTAGCATTGCTTATTTCACGGGGCAATAGTTTGTTAGCAGCTTATGACTTTACTGGTAATACAATTTTTATTACCAGCGCAGAAGAGACATGTAAATCGACCTCTACCTTTTTTTGATTTGGCTGATTACGCTTTGAAAGTGTTATCTATTTTTCATTTTGTATATTTTTAGGTCCCACTTTTTTTTCATTTAGGGAATTTGGCAACGAAAATTTTGCGTAGCTAATGGCAAATGATATCGTTTACATGAAAAAATAATGACGCTGAACAAATTAAGCTTTACCCCAGGCATTCACTGATACATTTTTATGATTGTTTCCTTTAAGTAACTTCCGTTGCTTAGGAGAAGCACAGCTTTCGAGCTGAAGCTAGTTTTGAAAATGGCTTTCCCAAAGCGTTTATTTAGAAGTGCTTCAGGTTAAGCCGACTGAGATATTACATATGTTTTCCCAAATACGAGTAAAATGTTATAGTAATTTTCTTAATTTTTTGTATTCTAAAATCTTTGTATTACTTAATTGTTTTCTGGTTAATTTTATTTGTTTAATGCTTCCCTTTATTCCTATTGAAATGAAACGAGTATTATAAGTGTGAAAGTTTGTGATTGAGTGTGTGAGTATTCTTGTTGCTCTTTCACGCTAAAACGGCTGGGCGTATTTCAAAAATTGGCTATCACACAACTTAAAATATAGGATATTTTTTGAGAGAGTTGTCATGCATGTTGTTGCAATGTGAGTGTAAATCGAAAGTGATACTAAAACGATTTAATTAAATATGATTCTGAAAATTGTTGCCAACTGTTTGGAAATTTTTATCATATTAGTTAAATATTTCAATACAAGGAGAAATTGATACAGTTAAAACGCAAGTTTTTTAAAGAAATTTTAAAATAAAATTTTTTTTATATAATTTTACTTCGTACAATATAAAAAAGTACAGTATTTGTATCTACGACTTTAAAACGAAACATTCGCAAAACAAAAACGATCGTTATAATATATTCACTTCTTTTACAGAGGAGAACAAACGAAATCAAAGAAATAACGCCATTCGTGTCTATCAAAAACTACCAAAATGGGTCGTATGAGTAATACAGATATGTAAATATGTATTTTATAGGCTGTACACCCCATAACCGAATTAGGCACAAATTCATTACAGAATGCATTAAAATCAATATTGCATACACTTACCATTTTGCGAATTCTGCTGCCAGTGATAGTTTGTGGTATAACTGCAGCTGCCGATTAAATTAATTATTTACAAATTTCAATTCAGTTGTTACGTTTTGCTACGCTGTGATTTGTATGTATTTCATTACATTTCATGATAATGCTTATTCGAAATTCTTATTGACCAGCGTTCACACAAATAATCACTCTTCCGATATGTGTCCATTATTTCTATTTCTAACAGTAATTTTAAAAATTTCACTTTTAACAACAATCAACAGTATTTAGTATATCTTCATATTCCACAACAATATTTTTATTCATTATTTTTAGTATCTTAAAATCTTTAATAGGTCATTTATTTCTGCTATACACTAAAGTACTCAGCTATTTTTTTAAGTTTTTCACTTCTTAGCTGCAATAAAAGAAAACAGAAAACATTTAAACAAACTTTGAAGAGCACATTCCCACCTTGAAAAGTTTCAACGCACATCACCTTTAAGACTCACTCTCATCGCCTCCACTTAAACACAAAACTTGAGCGTGCATATGTATGTATGTATATCCATACTCAACTGAATACATGCCATTGTTTAATCCAACGAATGTCCGCACACGCCCACCTGCCAAGCCTGGCAAATCGCGGTGCACAACTTAGACTCGCATAAAAAATTCAATCACTCAAAGGCACTTTAAGGCTAAGCGAAAAATATTTCATACCTTTTTGATGCTGCAAAGAAAAAACGAAAAAAAAACAAAAAAAAAATATTGGCAGAGAAACCCAAAGCAGAAATTTTGCGCGTGACTACCTAAGAATGCCTTACGGCGAAGAAGGGATTTCAAACACTAAGCTTTCCCCACACTTAATCACGCCCTACCCCCGTCGCTTGCGTCGCTTGTTTTCCTTGCCAGTTATTCTCTTTTCGTCTAACTTCGCTTATTACTTATGCCTTTTCAGGTGAATTCACTACTAAAATGTGGATGGCTTTCCGAAAAATCCGGCGAACTGATCTGATGGCGCGGCTGGTGGTTGGTGCTGGTGCTGATGGGGGATGCCTATACACCCGTCTGTCACCTTAAATGTGCGCATGAATGATTGAGCAGACGAGCGGCGAGCTGCGAGTGGTCAGCCGTTATGTACACAAAATCTACAACAAATATACATATAAGCGTTTAGAGGCATAAGTTGCTAAGCTGCTCTTCGCTAAGTGCATTTTGTGGTAGAATTAAAAAACCGTGTTCAAAGAGGCGAAGAGGCAAAGTAAAAAATATAAAAAATGATGGCATTTGAAAATGTTTAAAGCGAACACGTTCTAAAGCTGCGAGTTCGGTGAAATAAGATAATTCTGAAAAAGTTACACAAATAAGCGCTTAGATAAACTATGCAACCTTTATGGAATTGCTTTAATGCGTACGTTGGAAATGGTGGAAATGAAGCTATCGTTTGAAGGCATGAATAAAGCTGTTTTTATGCTCTTCAAGGCTACTAGACTGTACGCATTTTATAAGCAAGAAAGCAATTTAATATTTTTTTTTTTGCATTTTCCATAACAAAAAACTTTTTCATATTTAAATAATTTCTCATTTAAAGTTCCTACTAAATATACTTAAGCTTTATCATTGCCACCTGAGCATGCTAAGAACGAGGTCAAGTTCAGAAAATATATTTCAAGGACATTAGTAAATTAGTAAACGGAGGAGTGCATTTGAATGGCAAGCATGTATGTATGTATGTATGTTTGTTCATACACTTTGCACTGTCTTAGTCGTGTGATGTGCATATGTGTGCACTGAAGCGCATAACTAACTTGTTAGTTGCTCATATTTATATAAGTAATCGGACACACAGAGGTGCTCTTGAATGCATGAAAGCAGATACTTAGCATGTGAGCAAGCAATAAAAAGAAATATATGAAATTTAGCACCCAAAATTCAGCCAAAATTCAAAACAGACAAAATATTTAATTATAAAGCACTAAATCAAGAGCATATGGAATAAAATACATACATATATATATATATATATGTATTTAAGGTAATGTGGACCAACAAAAATCGCACAACTGCCATATCGCGACTTGACATTTTACTCCAACACTCATACGCCGTGTGTGCCCGCTTCCCTACCAGCTGTGCTGTGCAATGTACAGTTTATTCTTGAAAAGTTTCGGAGAAGTGAATTTATCGAAAACCCATTAGAGGAATTTTTTGTAGAACCTTTAATTCTTTGTAAAAATTTGTATCAGTTTACTTGTTTCAGAGAAAAAAATTGTGTGAAATGTAACATGGATTTCGGCACGGTTGAGTTTGAAAATTTTGAGTCTTTTTATAGGACTTTTTTTTAGGGCAAAAACTAAAAATTTATGAGGCGGCAGCAAAAAAACGAACTTGGAAAATAACCGAAACCATACAAATATAAACAGCAAAGAGACATTTTAGCATTATTTGGCTACTTCGTATGCGCTTATTTCATTTTTTATTTTTTTTTTCAAAGTGTAGCTCTTTGTCTTACAAAAACCATATATCTCAAAATTTCAAGCCTTGTACAAAAATTAAAAAAATTCGATACAAATCATAATTTCAAACTTTTAAAAAAAATTAGGAAAATTCGATAAAAATTTCATCAGAAATTTAAACTTTTTAATTAGATGTCTTAGGAACATTCTGAGTATGGAATTTGGTAGCCCATTAAATTTTAGTAAAATAAAGTGCAAGTTTGAAGTAGCTAGGACTTTGTGTTGATTTTTGGCAATTTTTTTATTTTATTTTTTATTTTTTTTTGTGGAAGATGTTGTTCATTTTCACCATACAAAAGTTCAGTTCTTCAGAAAAATTTTTTTTATTAAAAAAGGATTTTTAACAAAAGAAAAACTATCACCCCAATGAATTTAAGTAAAAGGTCTGCGAAGCAATTGCTTAGTTTTTATTCATACGGCGCAATAAGTGCAATTTTTAATGTAATTTTCAAGAACTTTTCAAATACATTTTTATGACATCATTGAAAAGACATTTTCTACCATTTTTCGTATCCCTAAAAAGTAAGCTTATTCACGTATTATGATTTTTGGTGAAACATTTTTTTTTTTATCATTGCCTAAATGAGTTAATTTTTTTTCAAAAATTTAAATTGTATAAAAAATTTACGAGTAAATCAAATGCGTATAAAACTTGCATTGTGATGTTGTATTAAATTACGTCACAAACTGAATTATTTTGAAGATGATGTCAAAATTTTTGAAAAACAAATTGCAAAAATCTTTTACGTTTATGCTTTTACTTTTTTGTGACTACATATATATTATCATGGTCATTCTTCATAAAAAATGTGATTTTAACGTGTACGGTACAGAAGGCTGCTCAATTCACGAATGATGCTGAGTTGCGCCGAGATTTGTCGAATTTCAAAATTTGCTCGGCGAAGGAAAATCGATGGAGGCATCATGAAAAAGCTGGTAATATGTAGTAAAAATTGGCCTACAGGTTTCAAATTTGGAACACAAGCTTCTTTAGTGATTATTAGTATAAGGTGTTAATATAAACAAAACACTTCCCATATAACGGTATTTTTTGAAAACTCTAACAAATTTGGAAAGCTCTAGCAAAGAAACAAAAGGTGACAGAACCTTCCACTTAAGCTCAAATTAAAGCTAATACACTCGACTACTGTTCCTGCAAATAAGATCACTGCATCTTGATATAAAGGTCACTTATAGTCATTTATTGGACAGAAAAAACTTAATTTAACAAAATTTTTTCCAATATTTTTTTTATGGTTCACTAAATTTTAGAGCTATTTTTGATAGAGTTTTTTGTGCTGATTACGAATCCGTAAGTATAAATTTTCCATCTGATCCAGATTGACCCAAAGGTCACTTATAACCATTTATTGAACAGAAAAAAACTTATTCAAAACCATCGCAGAATTTTCCAGCTCAGAGAAGGAAGCAAAAGAGCAGTGTATAAGCACAAGAAAAATTACCTGCTGGCAACACACAAAGAGTTTTCGCGTATTGGGACATATGTGTGTCACTGTTGATGGTTTTAGATATCAAGTAGTGAAGTAGTTTGGGTACTTAAGGCCTAGCACTTTTACCACCAATAATTATAAAAAAGGGGCCAAATGCAGACGGACCTGCTAACACTTTGTATAAACAACTGACAGAATTTCGTAAAAGCCGAAGTGTTTCAATTCTCTCCAAAAAGTCAATGTATATTAAGCGCCAAATAAGAAGAAGAAGATATAATGTGATAAATTTAGCACTTTAGTCAAAAGCTTTTTAGGCCTCTGAACTGTAATGAAATGAGGGCAAAGTTTTTTTTTAACGATGATATTATTTACGTACTTTATAGAATTTTAAACAGTTCGTAAAAATTATTCGTGATCCCTGCAAATTTAATTGCAAGTTTTGTAAGGTATGTTTAATATACGAAATAGCATTTTGCTAATGAGACGACTATGTACAAGTGTAATTAAAATTCGATTCGAACAAAAAAATAAAAAGAAACGTTAGTGACCAGAATTGAAAAGCTTATTAACGTCGAATGTTGAAGTCGCGTAGCAATACTGGAACTTTAAAGTCGTGTACCAAAAACATTTTGCCCGTCCTAATCTTAAGAAATTTGGTTTTTCTTGGAAGAAAATTTCAACATTTTGAAACGCTGAAGAATGGTTGCCATTCAGCACTATAACTTACATCCAGTTCCTAAAAATTGCGAATAGTTTAAGAAAACACAGAAAAAAACAAAAAAATCGTCAAAGTAAAAACCAAAGAATTTGGAAAAAAAACTCGTGACAATAACTCGGAAGCTTTACATTTCTTATCATTTTTGCGTGAAATTTGCATGCCTTGTTTGAAGACATTTTTTTAAGGAGTATCGAAAGATCAGATAAAGAAATTTCTTTTATTCGTACACGGTAATTTTTTATTCTCTGCTTTAACACAGCGGAAGACTGTTAAAGGCTTTGATTAGCCACCAAATATCGAAACTTGCAACTAATTTTCATATACCTACAATTTATTACTTATTGAAAAAGAGAACGTAATTCGTATCGCTGTTTCGAATAAATCAATGTTATTTCAAAATATTCTACAATAAAATTGTTCTGTTTTTAGCAAAAAAGCAAATACTTAAATTGTTTTTTTTTACAATTTTCTGTACCTAAAAAAAATTATTCAGGTGAAAACAATTCTTAAATGTACTCATCATTTTTATCCAGGATATTTTTCCATCAACTCTTTCTTCTCTTTTTCTCATATCCTAGCCAATAACTTATACTTTTACCTTAGTTCACGAGAAACCTTATAAGCATTGCTCACTGTTTTTACAAACGTATGTATGTATGTATATACGCAACTTTATTTCACTGTTTCTTCAACTTAATTTCAATAGCTGTAGGCGGTTTATTATCGTTCATTATCTCACAACACTTAGTCACTCGCTAATAAAAGAATATATATGGATAGACATTAAAAAGCACTCCTTCGGGCAAGCCTTTCGCTTACCTACACACCTTTAAGTCATACACACCCACACATTGCACCAACACTAACAAAACTTTCAAAGAAGTACAATTTTATATCTGAACATGTATTGTATATATATATATATATATGTCCCGTTAATCGCATATCACCAACACCTGTCGCCCGTCATTGGCAGCACACCAATACAGTCACACTACACTAACAGGTACACTGCACAGAATATTGGCTCACATATAAAGTGTTGTTGCTGCTGCTACACTGCCTGGCACAGTCCAGTTCAGTTCAGTTCAGCTTAGTTTGCCTCCACTGTTCGCTGCGTTGGTTGAGTTCACTTTCCGCGTTCAGCGACTTATCCTCGCAACGGCTCGACTCGAACTGTGCAAATGAATTTGAAATGTTGGCTCAGGTTGAAAGGCTCTCACCAGTCGCCTTGACAGGCTACCGCTGTCGCTGTCGCTGTCGCTGTCGCTGCCACTGCCGCTGCCTCGGTCGCTGCCACCGTTAACCACTTGTCGTACTTGCTCCTGTTTTCTATGAATTTGCTGTTCCTTTTCCCAAACAAAAAAAACGCTCATTCAGTGCTCAACGCATTCGGCTCGGGTTTAGGCTTGTTCGTGCATTCGTCTTACATTGAAATTCCTGTTGCTCCTGATTTACTCCATTTGCTGTGGATCCTCGTTCCACTCCCTATTTCCTC